GCTGAAGAGTTTAGTCTAGACTAAGGAAACCAGGAATTGCCACTCAAGAATATGAAAAAATCAAATCGATTTTGTTTTGGCTGGACTGTGCTAGTTACCTCAGTTGTTTCTGTAAAACAGCTACTCTAGGATAGTCTAAAGCTTGGGTACGACGACTTGGGTATCCTGTTCACTTTGGAAGAGAAGACCTCATATTTCAGGCGAAAGAAAAGCAGCATGGCGACATCCATTCAACACGATCTGGTCTCGGCTGTTGAACATGAAATCCGTTGTCCTGTCTGCTTTGAAGACTTTGAAGAACCCAAATGCCTCCCAAACTGTGCTCATAATGTCTGTCAACAGTGCTTACAAGGGATGGAAAAGAAAAGAAACAACGTTCTCGTATGCCCGGTTTGTCGAGTCGAGTCTGTTATTCCGAACGGTGGAGTCGCAGCTTTTCCAAAGAATCATTTGTTGGTTCGATTGATCGAGCAATCACCTGGACGAAAAGAAAAACTTTATCTTAAAGAAGCTGTGAAAAGCTGCGAAGAAGAGCTACAAGGGGCTAAAGGCGCTCTTAAAGAGATGGAAAAGCGGTACATTTATAGCAAAAAAAAATGTGATGAGATGAAGCAGCGTGTACAATCTTTGGCGGAAGAAGTTGTTAAAACGGTACGTGAACAAGAACAGAAAATGCTTGATGAAATCAAAGCGACAAATGATCGTAATGAAGTAACCTTCGAAACTCTGCAATCTAGAACTGCGAAATTGTGTGAGGATGCGTCCAATCGCATCAAAAGCGCGCAAGTCATCATACAAAATGGAGGATTGGAGATAGTTAGAGTCAGCAAGGAAAGTTTGGCTGAAACGATAAATGATTTAAGCAAGAGGTTGAACGTAAGCATTTTGGAAGCAAATGGTAAATTTAAACAGCCCCTCGAACTTTTATTGACCAACACTGATTTAGCTCAGGAGTTCATTGATGTTGAGTTCTCACTTGGTAAACTGAATATAAACATTGATCAAGCTGCAACTCCTCAGGATACTCCAATAGCTTTTGCTGCACCATCCTGGGAAGCATTCAAGCCAAAACCAGCGACAACATCAAACGTGAAAGATTATTCAAGATGTGGATCCTTGATTCAACGCATAGGAAGTACTTCTCATTTTGATGCCTTTTCTGTGGCAGGTTCCAGAGATTGTGGTGACATCGTGGTACTGGATGAATACACAAAGTTTGTGCATACCTTTACTGAAGCAGGGAAAAAGTTAAACAAGTTTCGTATTAAGCATGGTGATCTTTGGGATGTTGTAGTTTCAAATGAAGATGAGATAGTCGTTTTGAATCGTGACAAAAACCGTCTGTTACATTATGATATGAAAGGAAATTTTCAGAAAAAGGGTGTGTCTGCTCCCAAGGAAAACGTGAAATTTACGTCATGTTCAGTTGACGTTCATGGCCGTTTCATAATCACTTCATACCCAATTTATGACGATGAAACAGAGGATGATGCTGTGCCTTGTGTCCTTGTTTACAGACCATCTGGAAATCTAACCATGTCATTTGGTGAAAAATACCTTAGCAGTCCTAAAAAAGCAGTGTTCTTGAATGGTAGATTCTATGTCATAGACTCAGCTCACTGTGATGGTAGAGTCAAAGTTTTTGACAAAACTGGTTCCTTTATAAAGACTTTTGAGGACAAACAGCTGAAATCACCATCTGGTATCGCAGCTGATTACAGCAATGGTACCCTTGTCGTAGGTGACATCGACACAGTTCACATTTACAGCCAAGCTGGACAGCAACTACATTGTTTTCAAACAGGGAAGAAACCTACAGATATAGTTTTTACTAAGAATTTCAAGAGTTTGCTTGTTTGTTTTCAGGATGATGATGAAAATGGATATGTAGAAATGCTCACCTACTGTTGAATGAGTGTTATTGCTACGTGCTTTGATGTCGTGGATTTCTGGTCTCTTGCTTTGATCCAACAAAGAAATGTCACTGTAAGAATTTTGTATGGAAAAGTCATGTCAGTGGGCTAGGCATAATTTATAATATTATCGTAAGTCATGTTTGTGGGGACTTTTTTTGTCTCAAAACAATACAATCCTGCACTTGTTTTGATGATGTATTCAGAAAATAATTAACTTTTGTTGGTAAGACTACCGGTACTGTGTGGCACCAAATTGTGGCGGGTTCTTATTTCTGCGATTTTTCCAGCAATCTGCAAAATTCTTTTCTGGCCAAAAAAATTACTGCAAAATTTTTTCCAGCAAAAATTTACTTTTAGTAAATATCTAACTTAAATTCTGTTCTTATCTCAAAAATTAGTTCCTGCAAATCACAAAAAATTGCCAAATCCACAAAAATAATCTCTGGCAAAGATTTTGTGCCACACGGTAAGTTGGAAATGCAGATAATAACTTACTGTACTGTCAGAGAGGTGAATAGTATTCACTAAGTAAAACACAATCATTGTCACTATGACGCGGGATATATCTCATATAAGAATAATTCACCTACAAATTTAATATAATAAATAGAGTAGTGGTAAAGCTGATCATAAAAATAGCAGGTTTGCATGGTAATAGGGGCAAAGAATATTCACCTTTTTCAAGTGGAAGAATCTACCAGTCCTGTTACTCTGCTGTCTGTACTGAAATAGTGAAGAGACCACTGTGCATAGTTCTAATGCATTGAAATCTTTCAACTGTAGCCTCTTCTACATTTTTTTGTTAAAAATGTGAATACACTTACCAGTAAACAATGTATACATATTTTAGAAGGAAAGAGAAAGAAAAGTAGTTAACATAATTATTGCTTCAGGGCTCAAAAGTAACGCTCGCATTAACTCGCAAACTGCGAGTGATTTTGATAATCTGCGAGTGAAAAAAATGTACACTAGCAAACGTTTGCGAGTTAGAATCATCCATGTCTCCCAAACAAAGGGAAAGAATTTGCTAGTGGTCTCACCAGTTTGCTAGTGGAAAAAAAATGTTACTAGCAAAACTTTGCAAGTGCACTCAAAAGTTGACTTTGAGCCCTGTGCTCTGTAGTGAAATGGAAATCTAACTTAGTTAGAATTTTTGGTATAATGTATTATTTAGTTCACTCTAAAGACAATACCAGTGAAGAAAATTATGTAGCAAGTGAAACAACTAAGAAATATAATATTTATATGGCTTACCCGGCAGTGTTGCATTTTTAGGATCTGTGATGATCAATAAAATGAAAGCCATAATGTATTGCTAATCTTTTTTGGGCACCAACAAAACACTGCATTATGTGGGAGTCCCCTCTTCAAGCCCCATTTGTTTTCAACGAAGCATGTGTTCAAGGGAGTGCTGTTGTTTTATTTATATTTGTAAATACATGTCCAGCAATGAGAAGAAGGTGATGGAATAATAGATTAACAATACTATCAATAATTATTAGCCTAAGACAGATGGGCATGGCAAGAAGGTAATGGGTTTTGTTAAAGTAGTGTTTTGCATAATGCATTGGTGAATGTCATCTAGGCTTAAGCTTATAGTATTATAGGAAGTTAGTCTTAGAATTAAATTTGGAATTGAATGTTGTCTTGTTAGCTGGTAAAGTTTGGGTACTCATATGTATAAAATGTTTCAAAAACAGTTTAATAGTACTACTAAAACTAAAAAATTAATGATTGTCTGAAAGCGTTTACTTTTTTATTTAACATATTATCCAAATCCTTTGCTTCTGTGGTGACCTAAGACAGGAGCCCATAAGATCAATAGAAGATTGGTTTATTGTCAATTCTCAAAGAGAGTTATACCATATCTGGGAAGATGTGAAATCTAAGTTGTTTTCATGATTTAATGTGGTCCAGTATTGCATAATCTTGGTCAAAAATGAATCTTCTAGAAAGCTTGAAGCTAGTCCATGATTAAAAACAGCCTGAGTCTTTCCTGTACCGTTTTTATTATCTAAATTGCTTTATTTCGTTTTAAGGCCTTGTAGAAACTAGCAACATCGATCACTTTTAACCTAGTAGTTTTAGAAGTCGTTGATCATTTCTTTTTTTAATTTTGTTGCTTTTGTAGTCCAAGAGAAGTCATGCAATGCGGCGTAAATTTCTTTTATGACACCTTTCGGTGTTGGGACCTCATTTTGTGTAGGTTTACAATGAAAAGGAGCAGCTAAAGGACTTGAAAGGGGAAAATTAAGACTGGCTGATCCGCTGATTTTTTAACCTATTTTTTTCTAATTATTTATTTTACATATTTATTTATTTATTTATTTTTTGGAATTTTGCGAGATGTCACCTCGGGGATATTTCTATTCATATATGTAGATGAATTGTAAAAATGGAGGTAAAATGATTTTTTTTTCGTGATAAAGGAATTGAATTTCTTACCTGGGACACGTGGTCAAAAAGCGTGTCAAGAAATAGTACTACCTAGAGGTACATCCCTTGTTGGAATCATTTTGTGACTCGTTCCAACTCTCGGTCAGTTTGAACGCACTGCAAAATACGTCTGCTTTGCAGGCTTCCCAGCTCTCCATGTTGCTTGCAGGACAGCAGGAGTTGCGGGAGGTCCTAGCCCTCTCCTGAAACTGTGGCAATCATCCCTTAACCGTAAATATGAAGAACTGTCTTACCCCAAAAAATCCGAAAATGTGCGACCCCATTCTAGTAGCACTATTGAAAATGCGACCCCATTATAGTCAATCCAGTCGTGAAAATGCGACCCCATTCAGCGCCCAGCGGCACATCCCCATTAGCCTCTTATAAGGAAGTACCCCTCCCCCCCCTCCACCCCCTGCCGGGGATTAGAGGTTTTGAGTTGCAGGCAGCAGCCATCCGTCAACCAGTCAACTAACCTGAGATCAGGCGTTATTTTATTATTTTTTTTTGCTTCTTTGCTTCTTTGGCCCAAGAGGGAAAAAACGCAGATTACAGAGATTCAGAAAGAACCCATTCTCGTACCCAGAGTCACAGTCCGTAAGCGCCCTGTGAGCCCGCATGCATTTACGATGCGTAAATAAAAATAAAATGGCGACATCCATCCAACATGATCTGGTCTCGGCAGTTGAACATGAAATTAGTTGTCCCATCTGCTTTGAGGACTTTGAAGAACCCAAATGCCTCCCAAACTGTGCTCATAATGTATGTCAACAGTGCTTACAAGGGATGGAAAAGAAAAGAAACAACGTTCTCGAATGCCCGGTTTGTCGAGTCGAGTCTGTTATTCCGAAGGGTGGAGTCGCAGCTTTTCCAAAGAATCATTTGTTGGTTCGATTGATCGAGCAATCACCTGGACGAAAAGAAAAACGTTACCTCAAAGAAGCTGTGAAACGCTGCAAGGAAAAGCTGCAAGGGGCGAAAGATTCCCTTACAGAGATGGAGAAACGCTATGTTAATAGCAAAACAAAACGTGATGAGATGAAGCAGCGCATTCAATCTTTGGTGGAAGGAGTTGTTAAGACGGCACGTGAGCAGGAACAAAAAATGCTTGATGAAATCAATTCACGATATGATCAAGATGAAGGAATATACGAGACTCTGCAATCCAGTGCCATGGAATTATGTGAAAATGCGACTGAATGCATTGAGACTGTGCAAGGCATCATACAAAATGGAGAATTAAAGGATCTTAAAGACCTTAAGGATGCTTTGGCTGAACAGGTAAATGATTTAAGCGAGTGCTTGGAGATGCGGATGTTGGAGGCAAATAGTGAATTTACACAGCCCTTCGATATTTCATTGACTAACACTGACTTAGCTGAGAAGTTCATTGATGAGGAGTTTTCACTTGGTAAACTTAGCATAAACAGTTTTAAAATCACTGACCAAGCTGAAACTCCTCAAAATATTCTCACAGCTTTTGTCCCTTCAGTATGGACAGTTACTGAAGTCAAGCCAATACCAGCTGTAGTATCAGGAGTTGAAGAATGTCCAAGTTCCGGCACCTTGATTCAACGTATAGACAGTTTTTCATGTGGGAAAGAAGATTTTGAGCCTTTTTCAGTAGCAGCTTCCAGACATTCTGGAGAGTTTGCAGTTTTGGATAGAGAAAATAAGCATGTACACATATTTAACGAGGATGGGGCAATCATCAACAGTTTTCGCGTGAGATATGGTGACCTCTTTGACATTGCCTTTTCAAGTGAAGATGAAATAGTTGTTGTAAATCGTGAAAGAAACCGCCTCTTACATTATGACTATTTTGGGAATTTCCACAAGAAAGTCATGTCTGCTTCTAAAGAAAATGTAAAATTCACCTCATTGACAGTTGATGTTCATGGACGGTACATCATTTCTTCTCGGCCATACTATAGTCACGAGTATCAAGGTGAAACCTCACCGTGCATTCTTGTTTACTCTTCATCTGGAAACCTCACCTTGTCATTTGGTGAGGATGACCTGGTCTCACCAAAAAGGGCAGTGTTTTTGAATGGTAAATTTTATGTAGCAGATTCTGAACGAGAGGAAGTGCTAGTATTTGACAAAAGTGGTTCTGTAGTTGATACTCTTGGTGGCTATGAGTTAGGAATGCCATCTGGCATAACTGCTGACCATAATAATAGAAATCTTCTGGTAAGTGACACATCAAATTCCGAGGTGCTTGTTTACAACCAAAGTGGGGATTTTCTGGATTGTTTTGATACAGGAGAAGAGCCCATTCAAATTGCCGTCACCAAGTTTCGGGAAAATTTGCTAGTTTGCACTGGCTTGTCTATACTGGTCTTGGCACATTCTTGTCAGTTATAATTATTTTGTTGGATACTTTGTCATTTCTTACAAGTATGTTTGCATCACTTGAGTGTATTCAGCTCAGGTTGATGAGTGATACTGAAGGTGTTCACTCATCACTAAATATAATAGCCCATTTTACAGTTACAGGTGAAAATGAGGTTGGCGTTGACCTTGTTTTGATACAACCCTTCCTGCTTTATTATGTAAGTCATTTGTTCTTATGCTAACTAGTAGTATTTTGTAAGCATAATATCCATAAGAAAAGGAGAGAGGTTCGTATCAAAATAAGGTTAACTTAATCCTCTTGTTCACTCGAAGGCTAGGATACTAAGCCCACAACTGTAACATGGTCTATTATGACTGAGGTGCCCATTTACAGAGACATAGAACTTTTTTGTCTATTCAAGTAATAGATTACCTAGAAAAATATGCTCTTTCAAAGCCAATTTAGTAATTTTCCAACCATTCTGTCAGTTTATGTAACCAAATGAACAAACAAACAAACAAAACTTACCCAGTTCAAAGTCCTATTAATGATTGACTGATTACCTCCACTGCCTTATCCCCTCCCCCCTAAACTTCCAGTTGACGTTAAGCAGGGAAAGTGAATATGTCAACGGCCCATTACTGACCAACATAGGCAAAGTCTATACCCATTTTTATACTATATGGCTTATATAAGGGAGTACTTCCCCCCTATAATATTGGAACTGCACAATAACATTAGGTTTAACTTTATGCAGGTCGTGGTGCGTGTGATAATACTCTCCTGCATATGCATAATTCCTCAGGGTATACTTAGCCTTATCTAGCAATTACTAAATATTCTGAGATGTACTAATAATTAGTGTATAAAGTTTGGATGTGATTTTTGTCCATAAGGTTATAAGCAATGATTTTTGCCCATTAAATTATTTAATGGGCAAAAATCATTAATCATTAAGATGAAGATTTCCTTTTTGATAGGGCATTTTATTTTAGTAATCATACTATAAGACTTAAATCTCATTTTAACTTTTAAATCTTTTGTCTTTTATAGAATCAATTATTACTGACTGCAAGTATGTTGTTTCAATTTTTTTCTTTTTGGAGTGGTACATTATTAATTTTGATATGCACCTTTATGTCACCTGTGAATATATTCATAGGTGTTTGCCAGGGTGCCCTAGAAAATTTAGTAGAAGGATAAAATAATAGGGACTTTAAGCAAATCGCTACAGCGACCTGTATTACAGTGGTCGTGGATCCAGAGTCCTGGGGAGAGTACACCATAGCCCACCAAATTTCACCTTTAAGTAAGGGGCACCCAAACAGTGATTACTGGGTTTCTTGCTCATTTGCTTTCACTGTTAGTAAGACACAGGAAAGACGTAATTACTGGAAAACCAAAAGCATCAAATACTTTCTTGATATAGTGAAAAACAATCTAGGATAGGTTTTAAAACCAATGATATTTGTAAAAAATTGGAGAAACGGTCGAATTTTATTCTCACGTAGTAGCTTCTACGCCAGAAGACAGGTCTTCATGTTGTAGGATTTGGCCCTATGGCAAAAGTTCATTTCCAAGCATGTGCACTGCATCATTTTTAGGCTTTTTAACTTTTGGCTGCTTTACTAGATGTCACTGTAGCGATTTGCTTTACAATTCCCATTTAAGCACATACAGATGGTGCCAATGGTGGAGTGCTTTGGGGAAGCCCTTTGGGAATTTTAAATTTGGGTACCCTGATAAGGTGTCATGAAACAAATTTTAGCTGTGGGGATGGTACCTATAATTATGTACCTATCTTTGCTTTATGTCCCTATATTTTCTTTATTTATCTCACTTGTTTGTTTTTATTGAACAAGTTTTAAGAAACAAAATATCAGTGATAGATCTATTATCATACTAGAGCAAGGAAGGTTCACTCTTCTATTATGTGAAACTAGCCTTCAATCAGCATAAAAATAATAATGGTTATAATATCAAATAAAGAAATTAAAGGGTCATTAAACTTGTGTTTAATCTTGAAGGAAATGTTACAGTATAATGTGTCTTTAAATGGAAAGTGCAATTGATTCAAGATATATTCCTAATGCTAATTATTACCATTACATACACTGAATAACCCTACATGTTAGTATGTTAAATTTAATTAATAAAATAATGTGTTCAATTAAAGGCTTCTTTCCTCATTTCTAAGGACATCAAAAAATGTACAAACACTGGAGTTACTTTAAAACTACATGTATGCTAGAAAATCACCTATGGGCATTGAAATACAATATTTTTATATAGTTTTTGTTTCATGCATATAAAAACAGCTTCTGGACACCAGGATTACCTTTGTCCTTGTAACTATAGTATATCATGACTTTTAATGACAACTTTCCTGGATAGCTGCTAAATATCTAAGAGTGTTATACAGTAGTCACTTCATCTCCCAGATAAAAGTGTCGTCTCAGCTTTTTTGTACAATAGCCTAGAATTTAGCCCCCAAAATGTTGCCAAAATCTAGGCAGTTTCTGGCCACATTCGCCTCCTTTCATAATTGCAAAAGATTATTTTCATCATTTTAGCAAAGGGAGTGACTGCTATGTAGATAATGATAAAAATAATTTTTGAACTGGGTTGAGTTGTTTTTTATGAGGTGTGTGGCAGATTACTAGTGGGGGTGGGATGGGGTTGCATAATAAAAAGTCTCTAGAAGTTTTTATCTTTGTTATAAACTTGTACAAATTTAAGAATGAAAGCATTTCAGTAATAGGCTATCTTAATCAGAAATGGTTGCAAAAGTTCTAACATGTCATAATGCATGTGTACCAGTCCTAGCTAAGTTTAGTATATGTCACCGTCTAAATTTGTTGTTGTTGTCTTCAACATGACAGCAACCCTTCAGTTTTAAGACGGTGGGGTTTTATGACTGTCCTTAACAACAGTGGTTGCAAAAATGGTGCTGATAAGTTTCAATTGCCAGTCTTAGTTGCTAGTGAGTCACACCAAGTTAAGCATATGTTATCATCTGAATGGTTTTTTTTGTTGTTGTCTTTAACTTTAAACGTCTTGATGATGGTAATCAAGATGATGATGATGGTAATCAAGACTCTCCTTTACAACAGTGGTTGCAAGGATGACCCTGATCAGAACTGTTCTAACATGTAAATCTTGAATACTGACCAGTTAATTGTGCTAATGAGCTACTCCAAGATAAGCACATTTTATCATCTGAATGTTCTTTTTGTTGTCTTCAACTTGATAGAAAAAGTTCACTTTAACATTTTGACGACAGTGGGGTTTGATGATGGTAATTCTCGATTGATGACCAGTTTGTGCAAATGAGCCACTTCAAGTTATACATACGTTATCATCTGAATGTTCTTTTTGTTGTCTTCAACTTGACAGCAAATCAAGAGATTGTCGTAGCTCTTGCTTAAGGCAACCTGTACAGGAGAATGTTCTGTTCTGAAATGGTGAAGAAGCTCTCCATTTTGGCTGTAAATATGAAGTGTGCAGTTACCACGGTTACACACAATAAGGCTTCCAGTATTGTAATCTGCTGCTATACTACAAGGGCACTCCAACTGACCACCACCAAATTCTTTATGAAATTCCCCATCTTTGTTAAACACTACCACACTTTGACGAGAAGAATCTACCACAAAGTACTTGTCCTTTAGGAAGACTGCTTTTTCTGGGGACGAAAGTCTCCCTTCGCCAAATGACATGGTGAAAACTCCCATGGGACTGTACACAAGAACACGTGGCAAGGTATCATCTTCACTTTCAGAATAAGATGGGTGTGATGTTACAATGAGACATCCACTACTGCAGTCGACAGATAGTGAGGTAAACTTGACATTTTCCTTAGGGGTAGTCACAAACTTTCTCCTAAAGTTACCATTCATGTCATAATGCAAAAGGCGGTTACTTTCACGATTTACGACGATGATCTCATCTTCAATTGAAACTGCTATATCCCAGAGATCACCATACATGATGCGAAAGGTATGTAAGGCTTCCCCATCTTCATTAAAGATATGAACTCGCTTCATTTCTTCATCCAGTGCTACAAAATGACCTGTGTTTCTAGAAACTGCCACTGATAGTGGTGTAAACTGTGCTATTCCACATGAAGAACTGTCTATAGTCTGAATCAAAGATCCACATCTTGAATAATCTATGTTTGTTTTAGAATCGACAGAGGGGCCATTTGAGGCAGATGAAATTTCTTGATGAGAGGAAGCCGGAGCAGTATTGATGGTAAGTTTACCAAGCAAGCAGTTATTTTCAATAAATCCTTCAACTGATCCAGTGTCGGTCAGTGATACACCAAAGGGCTCTGCAAATTCACGGTTTACCTCAGCTATACTCTTTTTCAAGGAGCTTGAGAAACAGCCCATCTCTTCCACCAAAGCGTCTTTGAGGTCTTTAAGATCGCTCAATTCTCCATTATGTAGAATGTCTTCCACCGTCTGAATACAGCTGGAGGCATTATCGCATACAGCGTTATTGCTAGCCTTTTTTGATTCAAACTTCGTCTCGGGTTGACTTTGATCCCATTTCTGATCGATTTCTTCAAGCATCTTCCGTTCTTGCTCTCGCACCATGGTTACAACATACTCGGCCAGAGCCTTAACCCTTTGTTTAGTCTGCTCAACTTCGCGCGTGGCACAGGCAAAGCGAACTTCCATACTTTTAATAGCGGATTTAGCTTCCTCTAACTGCTGTTTGCAATTTTTCATCACTTCCTCTATAGTCTGCTTCTCTTTGAGTCCAGGAGTGTGTTCAATCAATCGAACTAACAAATGATTCTTGGGAAAAGCAGCGATTCCATCCTTGGGTATCATGGACTCCACTCGACACACTGGGCATTCGATCGAGTTGTTTTCTAGCTTGTCCATTCCTTCTAAGCAGCGTCCGCAGACATTATGAGCGCAGTTTGGAAGACACTTCGGCTCTTCAAATAGATCCAAACAGATCGGGCAACTGAATTCCTGTTCAGCAACCGAAACCATGTCGCTGTTAGACGCCATCTCTTGCTTTTCCAAGAAAAATTTATCGAGAAAGCACTGGGTACAACAATATTCCGCTGCAAAGGATATTACGGGCGCAGTTTCGTTCAAGAAATAAAAGCAGCCAGACAGAATGAATGATAGTCGTGCGAGTGTGTGAGAAGCGAATTGCCATGCTTTTTAAAACTCAGATGCAAAAAGGATAGCCTGAGACTCTGAAGAACAAAATGGCGATTTCGGCTCCGGACAAGGCTAATGCAGACATGACCAATCACAAATGTCAGGCTGTCAACTGGTAGACCGGCCCGCGAATGTAGCCACGTGTCTCCTAGCCGCAAGGGGCGCCTGATACCAATGAGTTTAGCGGGTCTTTTGCAATGATAATGAAGCCACCCATGGTTCTAGGCATTCAGACTCTGGGAACGGCACGACTAAGGGAAGGAAGCAGGAAAAACGGAGAAACTCGGGGAATAGCCTGCGTGGCAGGCGTTTGAAAAGGAAGGGGAAGGGAATCAGGGCGCGAGACCACGCGCGCCCAATTTCCCGCTTCCCCTTCCCCTTTTAACGCCTGCCACGCAGGCTACTCGGGGAGAAGCGCGAGGAGCAGTGGGGATGGGAGGGGCGGAGAAAGAAAGGAGAGCTTGCCCACCCGCTTCAAATTTTTGCTCCTTTTCCGACCTGGGCCCGTGCCCTTGTACGCCTCAGCTCCTCTGCTTCCCCTGCTTGGCTGAAAGGAAGCAGAGACGACTACACAGGCTGAGTGACCGTTACCTCGATCATGAAGCTCTAGACTTAACACATGTATTTTCTGTCCGCGCGATTTTTGTAGGCTTTGCCTCTCTCTACATACTCTTGTAATTTTTTTCGTTGCTGTTAAGATCAGTGCTGTCATGTTTTCCTGTTTGCTTTTGTTTCGTAGTTACCTTCCTCGTTCCCAGGCGTCTGTACTCGGCTCGCGTGATGGTATGGGAAGAATGGCCTGGGGCCTATTAAGGAGGATAGCCTTTTTAAATTCTGTTCTAAGGCCTGGATCACGGTTCTAATAATATTTTGACATCGATTAGGAAGGATTTTGTCCATTGGTCGGAAGTGCGCTTCATGGAAGTTACCTTTGCTCTCCGATAAGGACCCACAGTTCAGTCCAAAGTTAGATGTAATACCGAAATCGTGAGGGAAAAAATGCGTCCATCGCGAATTCGAATTTTGGAAAAAAATATTTACAGATTTACACATTTTCCTAAAAGACAAGACTGAACCTCTTCTCCCTTCTGTTATGCATACAAACTTTATCCTTTTAACGTTAAACGGAAAAGCCTACATGATTGCCAAGCCATTACTAATTGCAATTGAGCCCTCGCTCTAGCATTTTTTTACGGTGATCGGTGTCGAAAAAAAAAGTACGGCAGAAATCAAATTTGACTAGCCCTGAATAATCTGTAGTCTAAATTTTTACTCTTTGTATCGCTCAAAGTACTTATATAAGAAGAACTTTTACAAAAGGGGGCGGTCTTTTTCAATAACGATATCCATTTTTACGAGATTGACTGTCAGCAGGGTGTTAGAGATATCGTCAGAGGTCGGCAATTTAAATAGGACAGTGACGTCAGAGCAAGGAAGTTCAGCTCGACTGAGCTGAGAGTTTGAGAACTCTTTTGTTATTTATGGCTCAATCCCATAAGCAATTAACTAATATTTATAATACATATTTTAAGTAAGTGTTTTTGTAAAAATGTTGCATCGGTCGATGCGGAACATTTTGTCCTTAAAAAGTCTCCAAAGTAAACTATTAAAATAATGGAAATTACAATTTTCTGTATGGAACGTGAGCGTTACTAAAACTCCATCGTAAATGGTCGACGCAAGTAAGCCCACATAAAAGATCCTTTTGTCTAGTTCATTATTAAAACATTTCCTTTGACAATATAATAAGTATTCCGTGAATGGTATTACCTTTGAACTTAATGGTGAAATATAACTGGAGTGGATAGGGGGTTACAGCCAATAGTGGGCACACTGAAAATGCTAAAGTGCCGATGTTTCGATCGCATTATATCCGATACATCACATCTCAATAGATTCGAGAAGTAATTGTGGAGGTACGTATGTCATTTTCTTCACACACCACAAGTTTGAATGAATTTCGTGATTGTAAGCTTCATTGATGCGGTCACTTTGCTGAAGTGACTCGGTGAATTCACGTGCATTCTCTCGCCGCAATTCTGAACATTGACCCTTCGAAATTCTATACGTTTGAATGAAAGTGTGCACATTCTCTACTGTATAAATTGAAGAGACTAAAGTTTAAAAAGACAAATACACGAATACATAATTCACAGACTTACAAAGTAATCTGAAGGGAACTTCTGCTTCCATACTAGTTTCGTGTTTAAAATGTTCAAAGGTTTTCGCAAGAAAAAAAGACCGGCGGTCACCAAGACAGCAAAGATGCCTTCAAGGCACGTGGAAGTTCAAGCCTACAAAACTACAGCTCATGAAGAAAACGGTGTGGCAAATGGAATCCTCTCAACAGACGGAGGTATGAATCAGTTTGTTTGTGAAATATTTTGTTCATTCTCCAAGTAATCATATTACTCGAGTTGAGATGCGTTGGTAATTCATAAGTGCTTCGTGCAAAATTCTTGTCTTGCGCTCAAAATGAAAATAGAGGGACCTGCTTTTATTTGGAAATGTTGTACAGGTATTTAAGCAAATATAGCAAAAGAAAAACATCCCTAGGTTTTTTGAGTGTGTTGTCTTATATATACTCTCAATACTGATTATATATTTAGTCATGCAATATATAGCTGTCCAATCATCTTTTAGGATAATCATAGCCTTCCACCAAATAATACTGTTTCAGTTTTAAGCACTGACATGATGGAGTCACAAAGATATACCGTCTATATTTCTTCTCTTCTTCTCCAAACGTTTCGATCCTCCAAAGCTGATTCACCTGGATTTTTGTTCATCTATTTGCATCCAAACGTCTTGAGCAAGTTAATCGAAGTATAGTTTTCGTTGAATACTGTCTCAGCACCCATAAGAATAAAGTAGGTCAACTACCAGGGGTCACCTACCATTTCATTCTTAGTTCCCAGCGGGTGACCAGTGTATTTAGATATTATACTTCTTTATCGAGCCTAATAATATCTGGTATGTCAAGAGATTTTCTGTTGTCTTTTGGATACTTATTCCAGCCAGACGATATCTTTGAGCTGCATGCACGCAACATTCGAGAGTATCAGTTCCACGCATCTGCCTTTAATGTTGCACCTACTGAAGAATCAAACTAAGACAATTAAGACTTAAGAACGCCCTATTCAGTTGTGTTTCTTTTTGCGACATAATGCCGTATAAAGCGATATTCTTATTAGCCACCAAAATTCAGTTTTAGTTAAACTGTGCCTGCACTGCACTGAACCCCACATGCACTAAGTTCAGCCACGCCTGTGTTTGCGTCATGACAGTGATTATGTAACAATGTGAGGGTCCACTAAGCTTATTGTCTTTTTCAAATGATATAAAAAGGTTTATTTTCTTTGAGAACAAATTCAATTAATGATACCGTTGACAAAGAAATTACAAATCAGTTTATTCAGCTTGTTCAGCGAAACTGAATGTAAAAGCGTCTTAAAATTTATAAGAGATTTGTTTCAGAAATAACGACGTTTCGGACGCCACGTGGTAAGCAGCTTCGCCGATAAATGTGACTCTCGGAATTTACTGAGGGCGTCCTTGATCGACAGAGTAAAATTCACCCCAATTCATACGTCTGTCAAATAAAATCAGTAATAAATAAATAAGAAAATAAGAAAAGCAAAACAAAATTCCAACAGGAAAATGCGACTGTACAGCTATACGCGAACGGCAGCGCATGAATTCACCCTAAATTTTACTGTTGCAAATTTCATTTTGCAGGCACTGTAATCTATTTTTTGGTACTTTGAACCCATTGGATGGATTAGCACGTTTCCCTTCTTGAGTCCGTCTTGAGCACTCTAGGTTGTTACAAATTATACTAATCTGACAAAAAGATCATTTCCGTTCTACATTAACCCGCGCAGCACGTGTTCCAGAAACCGTGTTTGAATGATCATAGGTTTGCATGCAAGATTACAGCAACGGGCACAATAAGCTTTTAAATGTTTCAAAAAACATCTGCGAAATTTGCCAAAAGATTGACCAACACCAGGAGCCTAATAATTAAAATTGCAGTAAAATCGATTGAAAGAAGAAGGAAAGAAAAAGACAAAAACTGCAGAATTCCGGTGACCAGAAGGTGGAAATTTACCACTTCCTTAATCCCACTTGTAAATCACGTCAGTTACGGTTCGAAGTGTATCGTAGTTAACGGTATTACAGGAAAAAACTTTGGACTTTGGTAGGCTATGAACAGGCTCTCGTGTTTGCGTTTCGTGATGAATTTCGTGTTGACGTTCACGCGAGGAGGGGCGGGAGAGAGGATAGGAATGGAGAGGGGTGGGGGAGAAGGGGCGTGAAAGTCACGGAGAAACCCTAGCCCAGGGTGCTTTTCTCTTTGTCAACTACTCATCGTATCCTGGCAGGTTGTAGCCTCCCACGCCCGCGGGGGAGGCTAGGCAGGTTGTGGATGGGAAAGAATTTTCTATAAGCAGAAGGTACCTTAGGAAAAGAGAAGAAGTAACCTTTCCCTTGATTCCTTGCGTTAAGTTGGAAACCTTCCCATATTCCCCCGGGGTCTTGGGTACAAGGCAGGGGGAAGGGGGCTTGATGGGCAGGGAANAAAATCGATTGAAAGAAGAAGGAAAGAAAAAGACAAAAACTGCAGAATTCCGGTGACCAGAAGGTGGAAATTTACCACTTCCTTAATCCCACTTGTAAATCACGTCAGTTACGGTTCGAAGTGTATCGTAGTTAACGGTATTACAGGAAAAAACTTTGGACTTTGGTAGGCTATGAACAGGCTCTCGTGTTTGCGTTTCGTGATGAATTTCGTGTTGACGTTCACGCGAGGAGGGGCGGGAGAGAGGATAGGAATGGAG